AGTAGTTGCTGCTTGCTTTGTGTCTCTCGCCACTAGCACTTTATGTGTCCCGCTAAATCCCCAAGGCACTGTCATCAGTTGGTGCTCACTCAGAGCTCTGGAAAGGATGGCAATGGTACCTCACACAGCACATTGATTTCTAAATCTGTTGGCACTCCAACAAGTTTGAGAAAAATCATGCAAAATTTATTATTGTGAATGACTTCAGAGGATTAAACGTGACAATTATGTGCTCTAAGAGACGCCTGTGAGAAAACACCAGAGAAAACATGAACCTATAAAACTGAGGTAAACAGTTACAAGTGTTTGCCATCCTTCCCATTAAAACATTACAGGCTGCTTTTCTGGAGTCTAATACTGCTCTGCTGGTAACCCTATCTACAGACCAAAGGGATTTGTCACCTGCCTTTGGCACTGGAAGAAATTATAGAGATCAACTTTATTTACTGAAAGAGGTTTCTTAGAATATGCACACTTAACTTTTATTCATTTTCCCTTAATGTTCCATTCCTGCCATATTTTACTTACTATAGCTCTGCCATAAAGGCCTTTTGTAACACTCTCTGCATCCTTCATCTTTACCATGATGGGTTTCCTTGTATCCAGAATCTAGCACAGTCCTCCACTGAGTACAGAGTACAGAGGGCATCGACATCTCTCTGGGTGTCTTAGTGCATGCTCACCACAAACACAGGCTAACACCTAAGCATTTAGCCCTTCTAATCATGACTGTGAACTCCCACCAAGGGTAGACTTTGCATTACCATGTTGGTAAGGTCGTTAGCATATTTTCCTGCCAAATTCCTGTCCTCAGGAATTTGCCACTTGCCTCTTTACTCCAATGAGTACCTGTGTGTTTTCCTTGATTGTATGTTAGAAACTGTCACACACAAAACCTCCCCACTTCAGGAGGTGGAGTTGTTAATCATTCCATCACCTAAGAGCAGCTATTTTGATGTCCACTGTAGTTTTAATATGGTCTGTGCCCTCTAAAACTCATGATGGGATTTAATCCCCATGTGAGATACTACGAGGGTGAAAATTTAACCAAGCCATTATTTTTAGAGTGGGAATTCTATAAGATGATTTAGACTAAATAAAAAATCTAGACCAGAACCCTGTGATAGAATCCTGGGATGTAAAAAAGGATGAGAGAAAACAGATGAGATATACATGCACACACTCTTTTTTACTGCCTTGCGTGTCTGCACCATTTTAAGACTCTGCCAAGAGGAAGGCCATCTTCAGACACAATCTTCATCCCTGGACCTCCAGAACAATGGGCCCAAGCTAACCTGCTTTTTTCTGATTTGCCTGGTTTGTGGGATTGCATATGAATAGCAGTAGTATGCCTTGTGTCAGGCCATTGTGAGAAAGACAATCCATCAGAACTGACAATAGCACATCGTTTCATTCCCTTCATGTGGGCTGCACAGTCTCATCAGTAAGGGGATGAACTGCACAATTGAATCTGTTTTTTGTCAGCATGCGCTGATCCTTGGAGATCATCTCTTTATGTTTCATGCTCATAATGATATANTATTTGGCTGTTTGGCCTTAATTTGTCCAGGGGTTGTTCACAAGCCTCTGAATTTCATTCCCCATTCTTATCTACTTTTTTTTTTTTTGGAAATTAGATAGAGGCATATTTTCCTTTCAATGGGCTATCAAAGCCTATCCAGGAATCCTGAGTAGTAACATCTGCATGCTATTTGAAAGCTTGGAATCTCAGGCCTGAAATCCTTTAAAGTTACTAAACATTGTCTTTCAAATCTTTATCTTTCTTGGTAACTGCATTGCTCTAATTCATTTACTTAGCTTTCAACATGTACAAGACTTTGTATTTTGTGATAAGGATACAGTTTTACACATAGGATTTCATAGTTAAATGAGACAGACAGAAATACAGGAAGTTTCAACACAATATGATCTTTGGGGGTGTTGTGGGTGCTACCAGGTGCAGTGGGTTTGAATTTTGGAAAGACCCTGATGGCCACAGTGTAAAATGGGGATTGTCACACCAGAATGTGTAGGAGTCACTTGGGAATCCATCTAAAATGCAATTCTGACTTAGTACACCTGCAGAGGGAGCTTGGGATCTGTTCAAGTTCCCAAGTGAGAGGGGTGCAGTAGCCCCTGCAGGATACCTTGAGAGCAAGGCTTCCTACAGTCCACTAGGGGACAAGAAGGTCAGAGGCAAAGCATTGATTCTGAAGGTTTGGATGGAGTCTCAAGAGAAAATGATGATAGTACAAACCACAGGAAATGTGCTGCATTCTTCAAAGATCTTAGTTTGATCTTCTTTGGGAAAAGTAATTATATTAAGTAGGTCTTGAGTATTTTGTACCTAATAACATTAGTTCAGTTTGAATTTATAGGAAAGAGGAGTGGGGACATCTATTAAGTATAGGATAATCTTAATTACACCAGCTGCTCTCAGTGCCCACAGTTATTTTACTTGTGGCAGAGATGGCTGGTTGATATGGGCAAATTGTGTTGCCACTGAGATTACTATGTTTAAGACCCAAGTCTTGTACCTTAGAATATGGCTTCATTTGAAAATCAGTTTATTGCAGATCTAATGAGTGTGTTTGTGGGCATATAGTGGGCCCATAACCCACTTGACTGGCATCCTTGTAAATAGGGAATTACAAGTGCAGATATGGAAAAGCTACACAGTACTGAAAGTCAGATGATATGCAAGGGTGCACACAGGACACTGAAGTCTTTACTGGCACCTCTAGAGGGAACTCAGCTGGATGCATACCTAGCTGTTGGACCTCCAGCATCCACTACTTGTGAAAAAATAAATTCTGTGATTTCTTGCACTTTGACAGAGTAATAACTTGGTCTTCAAGTTTGACTCCATATTTCATTCTCAACAGTGTCCTATAGGAAATCTCAGCTAAATGTGCTTCTACTTCTTCTCATTATTCTTTTGTGATTTTTTTTAAATTCAGATTTTCGTTTTGATGACACCTCCTATTTTTGTTAAGCTTCTTATGCAGATTTTTACTAATTAGTTCAACTCAAAGTTACACCCTTTTCAGGTTGTGACCTTGCGTTAATACATTTTGGGACTTGGGGGACATAATGGCTGTTGGTCTCCTTTAGTTCAGAAAAAGCAGGCTTTTTACAGCTGTTTATTTTTGAACTAGAGAAGATTATCTCAGCAAAGCATGTTAATTATCTTGGGGCAATCCAGCAACAACAGAATTAAGTTCACAGAAAACCTACCTCAATATAAAACAATACCACTTTTGTAGTGTTTCAGGGACAAGAACTATGGTTTCTACTTCACAATTTACTTAATGTACCCTTTACTCCTTTATTATTTAAGTTAATCAAACATTCCTCCTCACTTTCCTTTTAGAAACAAGTTATACTTGACTTTTTTGTTGTTGTTGTTTTGTTTTTTTTTTTGTTTTTGTTTTTGTTTTTGTTTTGTTTTTTGAGACAGGGTTTCTCTGTGGCTTTGGAGCCTGTCCTGGAACTAGCTCTGTAGACTTGACATTTTTAAAAGAAGAGTCTTTGGATAAAATGAGGTTAATCAACCTAGGAGGAAGAGGAACTAGAAGTGCAGTGATGTTGTCTTCCTGGTAGATGTGTGCTCAGTGCCTAATTCTCTCTGATTTTCTCATAGTAGCAGGAAATTGGTAAAAAGATCTTAAAATGGTCATTTATCTCATCACAATTTTTTATCTATCTAACAGAAAATGACCTACTTCTTGTCCATTGAATATAAAAGCAATGGCAAGAATTTCAAAGAAAGGTATCTGGTTTTCATCCTTGGAAAGATATGCTTCAATAACAACAGCAGAACTATTTATTAGGTATCCAAGATATCCTGGACTCTGCAAAATGAGCATATACTTTTCTCAATACCCTCAATGACCTACTAGACAAGTGTTATTAATTTCTGCTTTAATAGATATAGAATAGAATGCAAGACCTTGCACCATGCTTTTTCAATGTCAACACAACAGACCAAGAAGGAATAGAACTAGGATTAAACTTCTGTCTCTCTGCTTTGTAGAGATACCAAAATCATGGACCCCATTTTGACATGCTCACTTCCTAGTCATTAGTCCTGACAACATTCATATTGGAATTGCTTTGGTGTGACAATGCTACTGGAGAAGCAAAAGCATTTTGATGTTGCTTATTCATTTTGGCAACACAGGTCCTGTGATCTGCATTTGAAGATTCTGACTCAGTTTCTCTTGAGTTGGACTTTTAGCTGTCCATTTTTAAGTATGCTTTTGGTGATTGCCTTTTGAGTTTATTGCATATTATTTATGTATCTATATTCAATAATGCAATAGTGGAAATAACTAAGAAATCATCTTTGGAGGGAAAGGCAACCAGCTAAAGACAATAGGTATAATTGGCATTCTTTTCTTTTCCAAACCACTAAAACTCAAGAAGAAAGAGGTTGCCATGCTCTTCTGTGCCCAATACCTAGTTAACTTTAGAGGTGTTTGAATGACCCTCCTCAAATGAGCGATCAGTAAGGGAAGGGAAGAAAAGCATGTCGGCAATGCTCTGAAAAGTTTGCTTAGAGAAGGAACAAATGCAAGAAGAATAAGTGAAAATCTTACAGGTTGTGATTAATTATTAATCCCACTCCTGTAATTCACAACAAATTGACTAATAGTCTGCCTCCCTGTCTCCCTCCCAACACAAAATTACTGCATCTAGTAGATTACAAACTTGACTAGGAGAAGCAGCAATATTCCATTAATATTTATAAGTGTCATAATGCTCATATTTCCCATCTATTTGGAAAATCAGCCCAAGTAATTAAAGAGAATTGGGGAATTATAAAGATGAAGATATCAGAAAAATTGCTCATGGAGTTATCAACACTCTTTTATTTCTACTTTTACATCTTAATGACTTAATTTTGCACAGATGGCACTTTTAAAATTTCTAAGTAAAAAAAAAGCAATTTCATTATTATCCAAGAAACACAGTCATTTTTCAGAGAGGAAACTTACATCTTTGGCTTTTCCACAAGGTATCGAAAATATTTACTTCCAATGATTTTCACCATGATCTCCGGCATTGGCTCTGATCTATGGCGGATCTTTGAAGCTGAAGACATGGTCTCTCTCCCAATCTTGCCAGATCCTTAGGGGTGAAAAATAAATAGGTCCTTCCTCTTGATTTCCCACCAGATAGTTGTGGATTCCTCATCAACAATAACATCAGGACCTACTGGTGTTGTACCTGTGAAGGGCTTATATAGAGTACTACTCCAGTGACCATGTTAAAGATATTTGAAAACATCAGGGGGAACAGAAAGATCATTCAATCCATGATGTTCCCTAAATGCAGAAGTTTAAATTTTGATGTGAAGGTTGCAGCATCATTGTCCTTTGAGAAGTCAGGATGAAGGCTGGTCTGAGAAACCTTGTCAAAACAACTCTCTTCAAAACTCCCCAGATAATTCAGTTGCTTTATTTAGACCATTCCCTACCTGGTTCTGATGTAAGCAATTTATTCTAAACACTTTCTTGAGAAGTCTCACTTCCTTTTGGGGATGGGGTGGCCATTTCTGTGCTATCTAAAGCTTGTATTACTTAATGCATATGTGTAAAGCTTATTTTACATAATGCATATGCTTCTTTCCTGTTAATTCTTGGAATAACCAGGGCCTATGAAGATTGGGTAAAAGGTTGTCACCCCTATACCTCATCTACTACTCCCGATATAATTACCTTTTACATTTTTTACATTTTTAAAATTACATTCATGGTGTATGCGTGTGCGTGTGTGTATGTTTGTGTGTGTGTGTGAGAGAGAGACAGAGAGAGAGAGAAAGAGAGAGAGAGAGAGAGATTCAGAGAAGAACTTGATGCAATCAGTTTTCATCTGCCATGTTTCCCAGAAGTGAGCTCAGGCTGAAAGGCCCAGTATTCCCCCAGCCGGGCTGTGAGGTTCTATTAAGAACCACCACTCTTCTTGTTTTGCCACTGAGAATAGGTAGGTATAGCTAGAACTGTCAATTCCAGAAGGACTACAAAGTACACATACTGAGTCCTTAGATGACTATAATCTTTCTCACTACAGGGCCTGGTATGGGATTATCCTGAGGCCAGAGTTGAAAGCTGGGATTTAGTGGAACACTCCAATCGAAGATCAGCTAGGATATTCCTGTTCACCATCTGTGATTCCTCTTATGCTCAGAGACTTCTGGTGAATCCAGAAGACAAAGTGATTGAAGAGGCATTTTTACTTTAAAGAGGACTCCTTAGCTCCCATTTGTACCCACAACTACCAGACTCTGTAGCTGGCTTTTTGGAAACCCCTCCCTATGGTGGTGGGGTGCCTTTCTCAACCTTGACACAGGAGGGTGGAGATTGGTTCTGCTTCAACTTGAGATGCCAGGCTTTGTTGACTCCCCATGGGGAATCCTAACCCTTTCTGAGGAGTGGGTGGGGATGGGGTAGAAAGGAGGTGAGTGGAGGGAACTGGAGGAAAGAAGGGAAGGGAACTGTGATAGTCTGTAAAATAAATTAAAAAAAAATAAAAGAAAAGGAAAGAAAATCTGCTTGAAGATAAACCCAGGATGTTTAAGCATGACTGATAATAGGTGAACCCGGCTGATCACTTCTTTCCAGGGAATTCAAAAGGCACCTAGAACTTGCCTCTAATTTAAACACTGGCTTCGCTGATTGAGAAATCGAGACCCAAATGCTTTCTCACAAAAGTCTTCCAGATTGGAGGGGGCAGGGGAGGGTGGAGGTCTCTCCAGTGTTCTGCTCTAATAGCTATGACAGGGTCCTTCCCTAGAGGACAGTTTACTTAATGTGTACAGCACTAAAACCCAGAAGAGACCCATCCAGCCCACCTCAGGCTCTCTGAAGCTGTGGGTGTAAAGTCAAAACTAGGATTTGAGACTATCAGGTTTCCTATTTGCCCCACAGTGGGACATCAGCCTTGAGACCATCCCCAGAAGGGACCAGAGGGGCAGGCATTCTTACCAACGTGGAGCTTCCTACCCAGGAAGTTCAGAGGTGCGAGTGCTTCTGTCTGAAAAGCAACCCAGAATGTTGGCAAAGAGCTTCGGAATCCAGCCAATCACAGGACCTGGCTCTAGGCAGGGGCCTTGCTCTCCGGTTGCTAAGGACGCACAGAGGCGGTTGCTGGGCGGGAACCAGATTTCTCCTCACCAGCGGCACAGTCATCCAGAGGGTTGGGGAGGAAAGAGTTGTTCCAGGCTGTGGTTGCTGACAGGAGGAAGCTGGATATTTTGAAGTCTGTGCTGAAAGGGTCTGGAGTCTTGCCAGAAGTCTGTCCTGTTCACCTCTGAACTGATGCTGCCCCGCCCTTCCGCTTAGGTTTTTGCTTTCTGAAACTTGCACAAAGTTGGATCTGTAGATTAGCCCGTTCTTTGGATAGCACGGCTTTGGGTAAACCTCTTCTTTGCTCCAGGATTGTTTCCTGCTGTACAGAGATGCAAAGAACGAACAAACAAGATGATTTGTTAACATTAAATACATTTAGAATACTTGGAGATGTAACTGAGCTGATAGAGTACTTGCCTAGCCTGCATGAGGGTCTGTGTTTAATCCCCAGCACGAAGACCTGGGTTCTTTTCCCAACACTACATAAACAAGATGTGATGGTGAGTGCCTATAAGCCAAGAAGAGGAGGGCCAGAAGTCCAAAGACATTCTTGGTCCTTGGTTCTGGTTAAGTCTTTACACAAGAGACCTTGTCACAAAATAAACTAAATTCTAATAATAACCTTAAATGCCATCTGCATGCAAGATCCCTTATTTGAGTCAGATATTGTATTACTGACAATTGGCAACTAAACATTTTACTTTTATTTTAAAGAACAAGTAACTGAAGTTTGGGTATTGTGAATTCACCAAGACCCTGCAGAGGCAAGTGAAGGAGCTCAGCTATCACAGGGCCTCTCTGATCATGTCTCAAACATCTCTTCAGTTCTAGAAGCCCATGAATTGCATAGTTTGTTCTCAAGATAGATTGGTCCATTTCAACTTAAACCCTGTAATTTCTGTTTGAACAAACTTCTAATGTAGTGTTCTCAATCTTCTTAATTATGAGACCCTTTAATACAGTTCCTCAATGTTCTAGTGTCCCCCAACCATAAAACTATTTCATTGCTACTTCATAGCTGTAATTTTGCTACTATTATGAATCATAATGTAAATATTTTATATGTAGGATATCTTATATATGATCCTCATGAAAGGGTTGTTTGACCCACAGGTTGAGAACATCTGATCACGTGGATAACACACCCAGTGGAGTTACTCAGTGTAACCCAATGTATCCCTCCACCTAAATAACTTTTTCATCCAACTCAGATTTCTAAGTTCTCTGTCCTGTGTTTAAAGACTGTAAATGTAGGTAATGACACTTTAAGTTGACACCAAATGGTATTGTATCAGGTCCAACATTCAAGGACCTGCCTTCAGCCCCTGGTCTGCTATGCTTGCAGTTCTACTGCGGCCTCTGCTGCCAGTTGCAGGCAGAGAAGGATGTCCGTATGTCAAGGTCTCATTCTCTGGCAGTTGGGAGGCACAGGCACATTTCATGACGTAGAGTACCATGGGAGCAAAATAGAAAGGCAACTCCCTCTCCCATCTGCAGCCCTGTTTTCACGTTTCTGTTCAGCCTTCCCAAGGCCCAGCTCTAACAGAATCTCTCCTCTACTCATGTCTCAAAGATCTCAGCAGCCCCAGAGGCCCATAGCTTGCATATTCCCATCTCACTCCAGGCTTAAACTCAGCAATTTCTGCTCGATTAAACCACTAATGAATAGAGCACTCCCTGGATTGAGTTTCTCAGTATAAATTTCCATTCTCCTAGATAACTTTCCCATCTAACCCTTTCTTGGAGATGCTATTTTCTATTCCAAATGATTTCTGTGAAGCTGTCATTTAAAATGTTCCTTCAACAGTACATCTTCTTAAAACTGATGGGGCTATTTATTGACCAACACACTTTAGAAACCAAGGAGGCCTGGCATCTGGTGGGACTATCAGACAGTGAGGATGGATGCTGAGACTTTTGGTGCATGTTTGTATTCAAATACTCTGACAGGAAAGCTGGTGAACAGAGCAAAGCAGAGCTGAGAATGAACCATGTGGAAAAAAGGGGTCAGTACAAAGCCTGGGTCCTGCTGGACATGCAACAGGATTTAGGGATGTCAGAAACAGGTGTGAACAATGTCCCATTTGTGGAAGATATTTTGAGATGGACCTTTGTTAATAGTTATGCCTAAAATCACCATTGCTTCTCTTGAGAGTGCAGATTCCCTTTAAAGTTCAGATGTGGGGCACAGTTAATCAACTGCATGGTATGGTGATTTGCATAGGTGTGGCCTGCATAGACCCTTGTGTCTGAATGTTTGACCTAAAGGAAGTGGCATTATTAGGAGTTGTGGCCCTGTTGAAGTAGGTTTGACCTTGTTGGAGGAAGTATGTCACTGTGGGGGCAGGCTTTGAGGTCTCATACGATCGGGATACACAGTTAATTTCTTGCTGCCTGTGGATCAAGAAGTAGAACTCTTAGCTCCTTCTCCAGCACCATGTCTGCCTACCTGCTACCATGCTTCTTGCCATGGTGATAATGGTCTAAATCTTTGAAACTGTAAGCCACCCAATTAAATGCTTTCCGTTATAAGAGTTGCCATGGTCATGATGTCTCTTCATAACAATAGAAACCCTTATTAAGATGGCATGTCCAGTGTCACTGTAAACTCTGGTGTGAAACTTGAAGGAACCGTGAATTATGTCCTTTGACTTTATAGGTTTTACAATGGCCAACGTTAACTAATAACACTAGCAGGAAGATGAAACTTGTCATGTTTTTCAGACCCAAGGGAAGTTCTGCTTTGCAACTTCTGAACCAATAAGCATGAGCATGCCATCTAATTATTTTGTCTGTAAAGTGGAGACAAACAATAATAACTGCTCCTGGGTCGCATACTAGGCACTCGAAAATATCCCCAAATAAGTCCCAGGCATGCAATAGACTATGCATTTATTTTTAATAATGCAAATAACACTGTGCATATTTATCATATGCTAAGAGCTTTACCATCAACACTCCATGGTATTAGTCATAACAACATTCTAAAGACCATTAATTCTCTTGTTTTATAGAGAGGAAGCTGAGCTTAGCAAAGACACCTTGCTTGTAGGAATGTAACTGGGAAGTCAGAACTGTAAAGAAAGTCCAGGTATGCCTGACTCCAGAAATCATTAGCTCTTCTGCCACAGTTCCTCTGTGGATTTTAGTTGTCTTTACAGTCGTTAGTTCTAGTGTTCCTGTTGATGGTATTTCAAGGCTGAGCTCTCCTACAGCACTGCAGAACACACAGTGATTCTGAAGCAGGACTGGGGACTTTCATCTCTCACTCTGCTTTATGAAATGCTAGAACCAAGAAACACCTCTCCTGTGGTTTATATTAAACAAGCCAAAACAAGAGGCTCTGCAGTAAATGTCTTCATAAGATTAAATGCTGTGGTTAAAGCTTCCTTCCCTGGATTCAGCAGCTTTAGATTATGAGTCACCGGAGAAAGATTCTACAGAAATGTCTCCATTCAATGTCAGCTCTCTCCTTTCCCCCAAAGAAAGATGAATGACTGTAATAAGAGAACCAAAGAAGGTCCCCTCTCCAAATGTCAGGACTTTCCATTTACCATCAGACAAAGGTGCAGAGACAAGAATCCGGTCCAGTGCTTCACTTTGGTCCGTATAAGTTAAAGAGGAATGAGTGTATAAATAGGAAGTAATAAAAACTGCTCTTTGAGAGGCTTAATCAGAGACCTATAAAAATGAGGCATTTTGTAGTGAAGTCCCTGACCCACAGAGAAGACATCAATGCTAAGCTGTTTTACAAAAAAATATGTGGATTTCATTCCTTCCTGTTTTGTTCCTTCCTCCCCTCCCCCCTCCATCTTTTTCTTTCTTTCTCCTTTTACCCTGCAACCTTTCCCTCTCTTTCTTTCTCTTTCCTCCCGGAGTCTAATGGAGTATTCAGCTGGCCAGGCAAAGGAGCACTGGCTGCTTCTAGAAGAGAACAGAGAATAGCTATCCCTTCTCTTCTTCTTAGAGCTTTCACTGTTCTGAAAGGAGGTTGTAGCATACAGACAAGATGGACACACTTTGGCTATGTAGTACCAAAGTGACACAAAATGAGTAAATTCAGTAAAAGACATATGTCCATTCTGAACCAGAGTTCAGCCTGCAATTTGGCAGGGCTGGCTCTTTCAGAGTCTAAAGGGCCTCTTTGCTAGCCACAGACGGCTTGCTGACCACCTGGACATTTATTTCTTGACTTGCAGATAAACCTGATGGTCATGATGTATCCTTTTGTGGTATGAGTATGCATCCACATTTCTCCTTTTTACAAGGAAGTGAGATGATAGTGGCTTAGACCCTCATCTCGGCGTAACTTTGCCTTTTACTCGGTTACTGTCCTATGTTTATACAGTGTCACAGTGGGAGATACTGAAGGTTAGGTTAGTACTTCTATTGGCAAATTCAGGGACACACAGGCCAATCTTAAAGAAGCCCAGGAGCCAATTTAGTGCTTAGCATGGTACTGGTACTACTTCACACAGCTACCTTACTTTTCCGTTATCTGGTTTTGTCTTGGATAATACTAATTACATACATAAATATGAGGATAAAATATTTTAAAAGATATTAAAAATATTTAGTATGTGCACAAGGTTGCTGTCATTACATTTGTCTCTTTAATGTTCTTTATTACGGCTTTCCTGTTTGGCCCCTAAGCCTTTATGTCTAGTATTTCTCTTCCTAGTCAGTTGTTTGCATTGCAGTCACATGGCACCAGGGATTCCTGCAAGCCTTTGCCAACCCTTTGTTTGCCTGAGAAACAAAGAGCAAAGCTTCCTCATGGCTCAGCTCCTAACTTGCAAGATTAGCTCAGATTTGATTCCATGGGGGAAGCTATGCCACCATGTCTCTTATCAATTGACTAACTATCAATTCAGTAAACTAGCATTTTTTAATGAAGCTACTCTTGCCGCTGTAATTAGTTCTTTAGTTCTTTAGTA